ATACCATCAATAGCACTATATCAATAGTACTGCATTCGCAGCAACCCTCTATCATTATTATGTAGCACCGTATGTATTATCAGTGTTGTGTGCGTGTCTCATCTCTACCACGTGATTACAAGCACTGCCATGACTATCACTGGTATTGCTTTAACTGAACTGCCATTACTAGTACTATATCGTTTGCGGCAATCTACCATCTATAGAATTGTATCATCACTGCTGTATTATTTGTTGTATTGTATGCTCTGTCAGTATCATATTAACTATAGAACTGCATTGTCAATATTGTATCATTTGTAACATTGTATGATTAGTGCTGTATTACCTGTAGCATTATATTCGAGTGCTGCATCATCCGAAGTCCTGTACAATTGTATTACTTGCAGCACTGTATTATTAATAACGAATTATGTTTAGCTAGCTCTATTGCCTGTGGCACTGTATCATATGTATCACTGTATTATTAGTGTTGTATTATTTGTAGTAAGGATAAGGGTAAGTCAGATAAACGAGTTGTATCATTTGTCGCACTATATTTATAGCCGCTGGTGTATCACCACCCTTCCGTGACATAGCGGCTGAAAGGACTGTATACATGTGGCATGCAATCATCCTCGGTGCGGCTGAGAAGGCTCGGCCAATATCTCCATCGTCAGCCACATGGCCCATGTACCAGCCACAAGAACTGATCTCTGCGAGCCGTGTTTACGCGCCGCGTTCTGCCAAACGATTTGTCCTTATTTTCACTGTACATAAAGTATAGAAACGAGTATCTGTTTGTACGTTGACGACCCTCGAGATGGTAATGCTGACGTGCAATATTTCCTTTGTTCAGAGTACTTCAGAGTTCAGGGGTCGTTACGAGCGCAAGCGGAGTGTAAGAGATTGTGTTTACCTCAATACAATAATGGTTATGACTGGTAGGGTAGTGATAGTGGTTCAATGGCTCGACTCTTCATTCCCATAGAAGAGTATAACGCAGTAATTAATCTGGATACTAAGTCTGGGAGCAAGCGCTGAGTGTCTTGTCCGGCTGCCGTATGGACTGTAGTGAGTAATGTTGTATGCATAAAGTTTGGTAGCGTGAAGTGGTAACCGTGAGAAGGAATACCATTTACTGTATAATGCATACGGCATATCAGAGTGCGACTTATTTCGTCGTTCCCTATAATCGTTTTATATTAATTGATATAGGTGCAAGTGAACCTTTATTTTGTTTTAGTATTTTTGTTCCATTGTTTACAATATGGCTTGAAGATAATTAACATTTTTTTTTTATGTATGAACACCTTTACACCAATTTTTAAAACAAATAACCATTATTACATGTTTGAAGGTTTTACCTCGTTTAATATATTTAGATAAAAAAAATACTCATCTCAACAAAAATACCGGTTGACGTCTAAGGCCTCGATCCCATCTCACACCATCCCACTCTGGGGGGTTTCTTAAGCATTGATTTGTCTTTTTTTATTTGTCGCTGGGTGAGCTGTCATTCTTTTTTCTCTCTTTTTCATGGTACTCATGGAAATATATCCTCCATACTACTTCATTTCACTTATCATGTTAATACTAAGGGTTTTAAATATTTCCACGCTCTACATAAGTGAAAAAATAACATGAACTCCCAACTGTTTTTCACTCTTAGTTTGAATCTTTATTTTTTACCAAATATGCCTAGTCTCATATCAAAGTCTATAACATTTCTGCTTTCATTTTCATTTATTTTCATTATTTCTCATCGTAAATATTGAAAATAAATCTATTTACAATAGTTCCATTCATCTGCTGGAAGCACGCGGTCCTTTTCATAGCTGCCATTGCGACACCACCACTTCTCTCGTTCGCGCTCCGCTCGACCTTGTCTGGGGATAGTCGTCACGAGCGATAAGGGTCAGGCGGATGCTGAAAGGCTGTTCCCTACAGGTTTCCTACGACGTCTCTTTGCATCCTCTATTTCTGCAGAGCTTCTGCATTTATATTTGCCAATTCTGTAATAAAATCCATGCGAACAGTATTTGGTCCTTTGGAATAATGACAGAGTTAGTTAAGTTCATTTTAGATTCATAATCATATGCCATAGGTTTCATCCAAATGTTTGTTTTTCCATCTCCGTAAAGTAAAGAAAAAATGCACAACTTTTCAGTTGAAGCCTTGTCACATCCATATCGTTGATCATATAAATTATGCTACTTTTATAGAAAACGGTGGTGATGAAATGACCTCAGCTCAGACCAGTCTTCGCCACAAAGCGTAGAGGTCGCCCCGGGTCACGACACGGCCAGGTGTAATTACGCATATGTAATCAGAGCTTATATTACTTCTTATAATTAGAGAAAATTCTGAAATACCGTTTATTAGCATTTCACAATAAATTTATTTTTTTAAAAGGTTCTTGAGAATTATGAGAATTATTTTCTTTGTTTTCCCTACACGTGCACATACACCAAAAACAGGTGTTGTTACACGTATGCAACATGATAAGTTAATTATTTTCAGTAATTGCGCATATAGACCTAATTCAGAATAAGTCAATGAGAATAATTCACTAAATCTGGCAAGTACATATTGTACATGGATTGGTCTAATATTCATCCAAAACAATCATTTTACGTAACCTGTTGGATTACGTAAATATATATATATATATATATATATATATATATATATATATATATATATATATATATATAAAATATTTAAGTTTTGTATGTTCTTTGTAAGCATCTCCCTTTTTCTTACACGAACGCCTGAGGTATAACAAAGGCGATGACGGTGAGAGCGCAAAGTAGGCGCGTCTTTTCACCCACACCTGTCAGAGAGCACGGTGCTCACCTGCATTCTCGTGAGTTTTTTATATATTGTCACCGGGGACTTATTATCAATTATGGAACTTGTGGAATATCAATTATTGTTCAGTTTGAAATCCACTTCTCTATTTTTCAGTTTTAATATAATAACAAAGTCCGATGCAGCAACTCCAATAAGGGAATGGGCGAAACAGGAGTAGCCGTAATAGCGCCCCACTCCGCTCTTAACAGGACGACTTGCCGTTTTCCCTGGATTTACAACAAGGGAGTGACTACCATAGAAAACGGATTTATGTTTATTGTGAGTGTAAATATAATGCTGATTATGAATAATTGTTTATTTACCCACCTCTAATAGTGCTAAATAAAGTGATAAAGGATCTAAAATGTGGCTAACATTAAAAGAACCTACCACACACATCAATAACTTTTTAACATTGGTGAAGTGTATTGGAATATATACACATGTCCATGCTTGTTTCTCCCCTCTCATAAGCACGTGTAAAAGAGTGAGAGAGAGAGAGAGAGAGAGGGGGGGGGGAGAGAGATTGATTTGATTTGAATTGATAACATTTATTTACAGAACAGTGTACATGCCCTGCAAAAAGCCAGGGTAAGATACCAAAGAATCTGTCCAAACTGGCTGTGCTTCTATTTGTGTAAAGGGCCATCGGTCAAACATTAGTGTTACATACATTCCTGAATGGCTGTTCTATTATCACTGTATTAAAATATCATCTGACTGGTAAAAAACCTTTTACATCACTAATCATGTCAAAGACAAGACCAGTGTTCATAATAAAGTTAATATAATCAACAAGCGCTATTCTGTGAACCGTACTATTTGATCGATAGGGTGCAGTCTTTATGCAACAGAGTAAGTAATGAGTGAGATTATGCGACTTGGGTTCCTTGCACAGTTTGCAGTGGTGATATGAAACAGATTTTGCATCCAAAACTGCATCCTGTACATATTGTATAGTATACTGATATCCCATGCGTAGCCTAGTTAATGTAACCTGTTGTCTCCGAGGCAGTCCGTGATAGACTTTATAGGGCTTGTCTAAATTTGATGTCCCAGCGATACTCTCGTAGTGCCAGATAGTACCATGTCCGTCTTTTTTCATCTTTTCAGTGGTCCATACCTGATCCTCATAATCTCTAAGACAGTTGATAACTCGTTTTTTTTTTTATTTGATTGAGAGATAGCGGTATTACATAGCATGGATCTTCATGGGAAGGTGCTAACCTGGCTAATTGATCAGCCCTGTCACATAGTGATATCCCTATATGAGAGGGTGTCCAGTATAGTGACACTTGGGTACCCCGTTCTGATAATTTAGAAATTTGGTGAAGGATAGTCTTAGTTACCATGTTTTCTGGAGTAAATGCAGTAAGCCTGTGGAGAGCGCCTTGGCTGTCTGTAAAGACAGCCAGGTTTCGCTGCTGTCCACTACCTTTCTTAATGGCATGATATATAGCTACTGACTCGGCATCAGTTGTGCTTGCCCAGTTGGAGATGCACTCACTTTCTTCAAGGTCTATATCAGGAATTAGCACACCAATCCCTGTTGCTCCATGAGGATCAGTGGAGGCATCACAGTAGATTGCAAGTGGGGGCGTACCATGAGGGGGATGTAGA